ATAGAATAGAATAGAATAGAATAGAATAGAATAGAATAGAATAGAATTTTTTATTGGCCAAGTGAATTTGTCTTGGTGCAAATACTCTCATAAAAGAATAGATTCATTCATCAAGTCAAGAATCGTAAGGTACAACACTTAATGATAGTCATAGAGTACAATAAGCAATCAAATCATACTAGGAAACAGTCAATATAAATTGTAAGTATACAAGCGACAAAGTTACAGTCATACAGTCACAAGTGGGAGGGGATGGGTGATAAGGAGTGATGAGAAGATTAACAGTAATAGTAGTACAAACTTTGTAATAGTTGAACAGTGTTGAGGGAATTATTTGTTTAGCAGAGTGATGGCTTTCGGGACAAAACTGTCCTTTATTTAATTATTTTGCCAGTCATCGTCCTTTCTCCCTAGAGTGTGTAGCAAGATTCTGAGTTACAAGGAATCTTTAGAGGGCCTGTTTAAAAAAACAATAGCTGGCTGACTTGATCATCTACTGTTGACAGTTTAAATATTTGCTTTCTCCTTCCCTTTGGAAACTTGTCTATTACTCCCACGTTTGGAGGTTGCTAGGTTATTGCCTGTTTTATTTGGGTTATTATTTTTTAAAATGGCATTACTTATTTTCACCATTAGCTCTGTGACTCAAACCAGGTAGTGAGACAGATATTGAATACCACTAAAGAAGCTTTCTGGAAGTTGGGATGACGGAGTGAGATTTTTATTTAGAAAATTAGGAAATGTTTTCAGCTATGACCGTAGTACATACAAGTCCTCTGCACTGGATTTAAAAAGCATATTTTAAAAATGCATGGAAACCTACATAATTTTAAATCTAATAATTCAGGTAAGAATTATTTACACCTTGTAAGATATTTATTTATCGAGCCACTGTTTATATTGTCTAATTATGCTTGTCCTCAACTGAATTGTACTGCCAAGAAAATACAGCTTCCTTCAAGGGAGTTTGAGGCTGCATCCTCCACACATTACTGCCAAATTTAATCAACTGTAAAATAGAAATGGAATATTTAGGAAATTAGGCTGCTGTATTTTATCCAGTTTTTTCTCAACCTGGATATCCCTAAATCATCTCTGTCTCTCTCTCTCTCTCTCCTTCCCTCTCTCTCTCCCCCTCGCCCTCCGTCCCTCTCTCTCATTTTTATCCACCCTGCAGAGATGGAATGAAATATGTATTAAGATATCTGTGACTTTGGTACTTGTGTCAGTCATTGGAACCCACATACATACAGAATTGTATAATGATATCACCCTATTTGTGGAGTCATTCTTGCTATAGATACAGGTAGTCCACAACTTACAATGGTCCATTTAGTGACTGTTCGAAATTACAATGGCACTGAAAAAAGTGATTTGTACTTACAACCATTGCAGCATCCCCGTGGGCACACGATCAAAATTCAGACGTTTGACAATTGACTCATATTTATGACGGTTGCAGTGTCCCAGGGTCATGTGATCACCTTTTGCAACTTTCTGACAAGCAAAGTCAACGTGGAAGCCAGATTCACTTAACAGCCATGTTACTAACTTAAGTGCTGCAGTAAATCAGCTAACAAATGTGGCAAGAAAGGTCGTAAAATGGGGCAAAACTCACTTAACAAATGTCTCGCTTAGCAACAGAAATTTTCAGCTCCGTTGTGGTCGTAAGTTGAGGACTACCTGTACTGTTCCTTGTAAAAAGCAAATATTATTCTATAGAAAACATGGTTTCTTGTTGTGGATTCCTGGTCTTAATTAAGTATGTCTGTGTATGTATGTAAGGTGAAAGGAGGAAACCATTTGATTTTGAACAATCGTTCCAACTTCATAAGGAGTTGTTCCAGCTCTAGTGGATATGGGCCAGAGGTGGTATTCAGCAGGTTCTGAGTAGTTCTGGAGAACCGGTAGCAGAAATTTTGGAGAACCAGAAAATACCACCTCTGACTGGCCCTGGCCCCTTCTCCTCCATGCTGCATCGAGAGCCCAGGATGGGTTGACTCCTTCCTATGACATCATTTAGCTGAGTCTGTACTAAGATATAAAAGCCAGCCCCCGGGAGAGACCTCAGCTTTTGACTCAGCTCCTTTCAGTCAGTAGCTGTTGTTAGGGATATACACCCTAGCAGAATGTGCAACGACAGTCTAGCAGACAGGCAGATATGTGTGAGATAATAACGTTGTAGTAGCTTACACTCCGTAAGACAGATACACTGTGCAAGTTAAATAGTTTTTATTCCAGCAAGAGTTATAGCATAGTCAAAACAGTCCATATATCATACACTAAGTTCAGTCCATCCGGGGTTAATCAGTTTTCAAAGTCCAGTGTCGAAAAAGAGGTCATTAAACTTACAATCAATCAGTCCAGTGATATATCTCTTTTGCAGTCAGAGGTATGAAGAAAATCAAACCCCTTTTCTTCTTTCAGCAAACACGCAGTTTATCACCATCAATCCTTCATTGTCAGCAATCCAGTAAAAGCCGAGCAAACAGTGAGCTCTCTTGCTCCCTCTTATGGTGATTCTACAACCGCACCCAAAAACTTGGTTTACAGTTTAAAGTGATACATACACTTAAACTCACTAACATAGTTTATATATTATTCTACCCAAACTAAGTTAGGTAACCAAAGTTATCCCTAACATTCTCCCCTTTTGGGTAATATCATAATATATATATCTATTTACAATTTCAACCCATAGTTTTCACAATTTTCATTGTTCTTTACTGCACCTTGGGCTTTTGTAAATCCATCTGCAAAATTTTCTTCAGTCATGCAATAGACCAATCTTATCAAACCATTTTTCACAGATTGTCTAACATTCAAATATCTAAGGTCAGTGTGCTTAGATCTAGTCTTTACAGCAATATTTGTAGCTAACCGTATGGCTGCTTGATTGTCCTCATACACTACAATGGCATCCTTAACAGTTACTCCCATATCTAACAACAACTGTTTATACAGAATTAAATCAGTACATAATAATGATAAACATGAAAATTCTGCTTCCATTGTGGACATACTTATATGTTGCTGTCTAATTGACCTCCAACCAATCAGTGTTTTATCTAATAGTATACCCATGCCTGAAGTTGATTTCCTAGTTTTTATATCTGTTGCAAAGCTTGCATCAGCATATGCACTTAAAATCAAATCATCTTTTGGCTCTAAATACAATGCATAGTGCATTGTCTTTTTAAGATACCTTAATATACGCTTTAGCGCTTGCCAGTGACGGTCAGTGGGTTCAGTGTTGAATCTTGCCAACTGATTAACGCTATAGGCAATGTCTGGCCTTGACCAATTACTTATATATGATAAGCTACCTATTAATGACTGATAAATAGTCTTATCGAATTTTGAACTTTGAGCATCAGTACGACAAAATTCCTGACTCATTGGAGTTTTTGCCGGTTTACAAAGTTCCATTTTATACATTTTTAGCAATTGGTATATTTTATCTTCTTGTGATATCTTAAAACCACTATTGGTTTTGTTTATTGTCAATCCTAAATACTGTCTTATTTCTCCTAAATGCTTTAATTTTATTCTCTTACTTAATAATGATATTATCTCAGTAGCTTCATCATTAGTCTTCGTTATTAAAGCAATATCATCTGTAAACAACAATAATAATGATACTATTCAATTTGTCTCTCTCTTGAATAAACATGGATCAGCTAAACCTGCTTTAAATCCTATATTGTTTAACTCTTTTACAATATATTGGTTCCATTCATAATCAGATTGTTTCAATCCATAGAGACTCTTTTTCAGTTTCCAACAGTCATTATTATTTTTATCATCTTTAATGCCTACTGGTTTCCTTAAATATATAGTGTGCTGCAATGGTGCATGCAGATAGGCAGTTTCTACATCTAAATGATTTATAATATAATTTTTCTTAGCTGCCCACACTAAAGCTGCTCTCAAGGTTGTAGCCTTTAAATTTGGTGCAAATACCTCATCATAATCACATGCAGTTTGATTAAATCCTTGAGCTACTAACCTAGCCTTATGGGTAACAGTCCCATTTTTACCAGTTTTTAACTTAAATATCCATTTGCAACCAATGGACTTTTCACCTGGAGGTAATTTGGTATTTTCATATACTTTCATTTCCTTTAATGAATTTAACTCCTTTTCCATTGCCTTTTGCCAATTCTCCTGATCCTTTGCAGGATACATCCTAAGTTCTTCAACAGTAGTTGGAACTTTACTAACTTGGCAAACTACACTTGCTTGATACCTATCAGGTGGTCTAGTTACACGTGTAGAACGTCTAGGTATTACAGGGCTTACAGGTGGACTTTCATGTTCTACCTGTTCCTGATTATCTATTTCTTCCTGTTCTGGTATTTCTTCCTGTTCTGGTCCTATATGCTCTTCATGTACTTCCTCTTTAATTGTACTCTTCTTATTACTGATTTTTTCTGGTCTTTTGTAGGGTTCTATAATTACTTCCTTACTTGAATCTTGCTCCAGTTTTTCCCATCCTACATGTTCCAGGAATTGTGCACTAGCGCTACAGTAAACTCTAGATGTACCTTTTCCCCAGAATCTGTATGATTTGTGATTAGATTCATAACCTACAAAAAATAACCTTTTAGCCCTATGTTGCCCTTTCTTTCTCAATTGTGTAGGGATATGCACCCATGCTGGTGCTCCAAATGTGTGTATGTAGCTTAGGTCAGGTTTTCTGCCATGCCACCGTGTGAATGGTAATTCACCTGTTGTTGAGTTAACAACATTATTCAAAATATGATTACCACACATTATTGCTTCTCCCCACAAAGTTTCAGGCAATCCTGAATCTGACAACATACTACGAGCCATTGCTTGTAATGTTTGGCCTCGTCTCTCAATAAAGGCATTATGTTGTGGCCTATATCAGGGGTCCCCAACCACCGGTCCGCGGACCGGTACCGGTCCGCGGAACAAGTCCTACCGGGCCGCTGGTTGCTGGGCGCCGCCATCTTTTTTTGATGAAAAAGTGCTTCCGGTGAGCTTTTCTGGGTAGAAAGCCATTTCTACCCGGAAAAGCTCACCGGAAGCGCTGGTGCCGCCATCTTTTTTGATGAAAAAGTGCTTCCGGTGAGGTCACCGGAAGCACTTTTTCATCAAAAAAAGATGGTGGCGCCCAGCTGATGCCGGTACCGGGCCACGGCGCCCAGCTGATGCCGGTACCGGGCCGCGGCATAAAAAAGGTTGGGGATCACTGGCCTATATGGTGCAGACTTTTTATGTTCAACACCTGCCATCTTCAGTTTATTTTGGAATTTATTGTTTATAAATTCCGTACCATTATCAGTGATAAGAGTTACTAATTTCTTTTTAGTTTTTCTTTCAGCGAATTTAAGCCAATTAAAGAAATTTTGATGTGTCAGCAAATACTACCTCTAGAGGCTCCTTTGTTTTAAATCCATTAACTCTATTTGCTGGTATCACCTTGCTTTTCTCTTCACTACATGAATTGCAGTGCAAATACTTACTGCAAGGTTTCAGTTTTATACCCTTAGATAGTTCTACCGTTTGTTTAAGCATTTTAAAATTTATATGCCCTAAACGTCTGTGTAACAGATGTATGCACTCATTATGAGGTTTAACATTATTATAAACTGTGTTAGCTACCTCTAAATTATCATTTAACACATACAATTCACCTTTTAAAGTTGCAGTCACTTTTTTACCTTCTTTTTCAATTATGCAATTGTCTCCCCTAAAGGTAATTACATAACCTAGTTTAACCAAAACTCTAACCGAAAGCAAATTAAACTTAAGCTGTGGTACATATAACATTTTTACATTTTCTTTTATGCAAGAACAATATGCTATACCTTGATCTTT